TATTCCACAAACAACGCGTTATAAAAATCGTTGGGGAGTTCGTATATTTGAAGATTCGCAACGTGGGCGAGAAAATAAAGCAGTCATGTGTGAGAGCAATCCTTTCAGCTTAGATTTGCAGAATTTGCAAAATTTGAAGACAGAATTGTGTTCAATGACGGCAAGAACGTTAAACTTCTGGCTTATCAAATTTGTTCAAGAAGTTTGCGACAAGGATGGCAAGCCATATCCCGGGCGTACAGTATACCAAATTATATGCTCGTTGAAACGACATCTTATTCTAGACAAAAATGGCCGGGCTGAAGCTAACATGTTAAATGCTAACAATCACTGGTAGGTTGAATTCGTTCATTTTTAATTAATGGTTTAGTTTAATTTATTGTAATATGAGCATGTTTATTACTCAGTTTCCAGACGTTCAGAAGAGTGCTGGATAGTGAAATGAAAGCCACCCACCGGGAAGGCAAATCGCTTGCGGAGAATCGTACAAGACGAGAGAAAGAAGCTATTACAGATGATGATGAAGGTTTGCTGTGGTCAAAAGGCTTACTGGGAGACAAAACTGCTCAAAGTTTGGTTTACACAATTTATTTCTATATCCACCCTCGAAGCCTAAGGAAGACGAAAAGTTTCAAATTTCCGACGAGGAACTTGATAAGTTTTTGAGTGAAGTAGACTGGTCTAAAATTGATAAAGAGGTGCAGCGACGTACTATCGCAGAAAAGTTTGTTTTGTCGAACAGTACATTCACTAACTGTTCCTTAACATTCCGTTTGCCGGAAATAAGTAATACTAAGTCAATTGTATGTGTGTTATTGTTAGTGTGATTAAAAAAGCAACATATTTTGTTGTTTGAAATGTGTTTTAATGTTTTTGTGTATTTAGAAGTTATTTCTAAATACAGCTTACTGTATTTAGAAATAATTCTAAACATAGCAACTAAATATATTTGCATAATCTTTTGTTTACCCCTCAATTTCCCTATTGTTCAAAGCCCTTCCCACTTGAAGTAATTAAAGTCCTGGTCTAGACGGGGTATCCAGATAGATACACGTGATGTAAATTACACCATGTCATTGGCCGAAATGCTATGAATATCTAATGATGTGTGAGAAGAGAGGTTTGATGGAGATTTTGTGTGTTCTTAAAATTCTAAAACCTGAACCATAATTGTGAAGCAAACCGCAGAAAGAGTTGAAGCAAAGTGATATTAGTTTCGCGAGTTTAATGACATTAAACAAAATCTGACATCTAGCATGCAGTCCCAAAAATAGATCCGATTCGATCCAACAGAAAAACTACCAAAATCCCATCCGATAGAAAAACAAATAAATTCCCATCCGAACGCCTAACATTTAGACTGAATCCGATTGGATTGACCAGAGACTCTGATTGAATCGTCGACGTTATGCCAGTGTTTTTTAGGCTGAAGAATACATACAAAGCGGAAATTCTATTGTGGTTATAATTAGACTTTATTTAAAGAAAGTTAAATTATTTACAGTATTTACAAAATACAACAGTTTAGCTATAACAGTGTAAGCTAATCTTCCACTACGTATATGGACTGACTGAAGTGGTTCTTATATATAACAGGAACTTTGTACGATTTCAGACAAAGTCGGCTTTGTCAGCCGTAAATTGCTCTTGTTTTTCGTCCTTACTAACCAATTAAAAATTTCAGGTGGGTGGTCTTGATCCACTTCTTTTTTTTTAATGCTGGTTACCTACGCCAGGTTATGTTTTCACCTGGGTTTGTATGAATTGTGTGTCAGTGACGGTGTGTTTTTGTCTTTTGGCATTATAACTCAAAAATGTCGAACGACTATTATAAATAGTAAACGGCCAAGACCAAATCGATTATATTTTGGATCATTTTGTACGAAAATGGAATGAAAATTGTCAAAGGTTTGTCTTGCTCTGCCGGGCAGAGAAAACTGAATGCGTAATTGTCCATTGTATGATTTATGCATGATATCTGACCTGATTATCCGCCCGAATATTGATTATATAAGGTTCAGACCTAATCATCCAAGGCTAAATAATTATGTTCATTTGTTATAAAGTGATAGTGTTTGTAATATATTGACTGGAAATGATAGGAAAGAACTTTACAGTCCAACATCGATAAACATGCATGCATATAATATATAGTGGTTGGAAAAGCCAGCAGTCAAAAAATTTCGAACCCATTTGTTCGTATATTGCAAGGGGACATGATAAATCTTGTCAATATTGCCAGCTAGCTGCTCTGTGATCATTTAAATACTCATACCTGCTAAGCCATGAATATTACATCATTTTTATCCTAAAGGCCTGAACCTTAAATAAATATCCGGTATCCGGCCGGTTATTTTATACTAACTGGCCGGACAACAGACGCATTTTACTGCACAAATTTTGGGCAAGTAAGTGCTCGAACGGTGAAGTGCTCTAGCTATCCTTGGTTTTTCCTGGAGGAACAAGTGAACCTGTTATAACGAAGAACCATTTCAAAGAGTTGTCCATCACTCAATATTCCATGTTTAGAAATCTGATTGAATTGCGAGAATGAGTACGGAGGCAACTTTAAGAGTGCCGTTTACGGGATGCCAACCCTTATGCTAAAGCTGGATAATCAGGGAGGCCAGGAAAAAACCTGCGGTACAGGAAAACCTGGGTAGGGCCAAGACCTCCAGCAGCTCCCTACATAGCTCTATCTTTACAACTGATGTAAGTGTTAGCATCACGTTAAACAGCACTATATCTAAAGAGGGGCCGAGCGGAAAGGTGACAGCATTTATTTTGTTTATCATTTTATCTAAGTAGAAAGGTTATATTGTTGAACTTTCTTTTGTTTAGTTTAAAAAAAACTTAAGAAACTACAATCCTCGCCAAAATCTTGTAAAACGACTGAATGTTTGCACTAGTTTTCCCCTGAATTTATTTTTGTTTTATTAAGCATGTCAATTCCCCCCCCCAGTCAATGTTGTTTCACAGTGTTAATTGCTGTGCCAGATTTCCAGCTATTATAGTCACATAAAACAACAATGAGTGAGGGGGAATTGAAATATAAGGAGAAAACCGTCCGTTTCATCCTCGCAATGTATGTACATATAAGTTATACGATGAAATGTACTAGGTCTAGGAATCCACGGATAGACAAAGAATACAGTAAAAACCTGCATATAAAACAACCATAGTATTATTCTCAGACTTAAACTATACTGCTTGCAATGAAATAAATAGATAGAAATCAAGATGGAAATATTGCCTAACTTTAAGTCTACATTAACACGGAACCGGATTAATTACGAAACGAAAAGTGTTCACACGGAAGCGGATGAATACTAGATTCCCCCCTTATTACGTTTTCGTAGCGCTTTCCATTGTGGTTATTGTAGTATCACTGATAAAGAGAGCGGCCTCGATTAAAAATATTGAATGTTTTGGCGAATATTTTGCTGTTGGCTATCGCGCACCTGACCCTAGCTTTTTTTAAACGTTCTTGCATGGGTCAGGACAAAAAATAAGCCATCTTGAATATCAGTCAGTGATACCACTACAAGTACTACAACCACAATGCAAAGCGCTACGAAAACGTAATAAGGAGAATCATCAATTGAATGTATGAATTGTGGTTCCGGAACTATTTACGTATGCATGCGCAGATGGCATCAGTCAGTTTCAATCCCAATCCTCTACCGCGCAAAATATTCTTGAACGCCCAGTGTGAACGCAAGGTGAAACCGGAATTTGAGTACGGTTTTGGATTCATCCGGCCCCGTGGGATACCTTATTCCCTATTTTTCATTATGTTCCTCATAATGAATTCTTATCTTATTCCTTATTTTTCATTATATTCCTCATAATGAATTCTCATCTTATTCCTGAATTAGTAATATATTCTGTAATGTGATTTACCTCTTTTGTTTACACTTTTTTGTCACATGATCGCTTTTATATTCACTATTACAAAAGCTCACGTACTTAGTTTCTGATCCTTGCCAACCATCCCAACGAAGACCGGGCCTTCGCTCGAAAAGTTTTGTATTTTTCAGGTAGTTGAATCCCTGTCAATCCGGTCCGCAGTTTTTTGGTGTCAACTTTACATATTTTTAGACCTGAACAGGAGCAGTTGCAAAAAATGCAACTACATGCCCTCAGGCAGGAATCCAATCTGCGGCCTGCGATTCCGGTGCAGCGCGTGGTAACACGCGTTATAAGGCGAACACCGAACGCAATTCGAAAACGCTGCGTTTTTTTTCAGTTAATAAAACAACCAATTCTTTGTTTACAATGACGTAATTTTGGGATTTCAGTTGACGGGCAGGTATAACAAAAACGGCTATTTTAATGTATTGATCAAATTTAGAGACAGTTTAAGACTCAAAAGATGAATTACCGTTGAGTTTTTCTTGCTACAAACATTCTGATAGGAGAAAAATCGTCCACAAGTTGTTTGATTGCCAATCATTTGGATGAAAAGTCACGTGATTGCAAACAAAGAATGAAAGGAAATTTTAAAATATATGTAAACCAAATAAGAATGTTATAGCGTTTCTAAATATTTGAAAAAGTTAAACCAGGATCAAGATCAGTGAAAATCGAAATATCGCGCCGCCTTGTCGAACCGCGTCCGGTGTGTCTCGGTCTTTAGTCAGTTCGTATGTCGCTATGAGTTTTGATTTATTTAATAGAGGTTGCGGGCTAAATAAAGGGTACGGGTTTAATTTTTGAGCGACTGGTGGGTGCTAAATAGAGGAAACATGCAGCCGGAAACAGGAACTTTATATCAAATTAACTTTGTTTATGTGCTTGCATGATTGCGAAATTTCAAGCAGGTGGTTTTTAATGCAGGTTTTTACTGTATAATGAAAGAAGTACAGTCAATCTTTCGATTTTGAAGCATACGCCTGAAGCACACTATAGTTACCATGTAGAAACTCGTCAATTATGTGGACCAGATCAATTCTGTTAATGGATTCGAAGAAATCACGGAGTTCACTTAAATTTGAAGCATGGATGACTCCAGTTCGATCAAGGTATGAGAGAACATCAGCTGCATTTTTAGAGCGGTCGATTGAGAATCTTTCACTTGCCCAATCATTGAGCTTCACGACATCATCACACAACAACGGTTGTGCCATATTTTTCAATAGATCTCGATAATAACTACAGTCACTGTTCGCAGACGAAGATGCCATTGCGCCATTAGTTTCCATATTATTATTTTCAAATTTCATTATTTGCTCTTCATTTGAATCCTCAGCAGAACATTGTCTATTAGACGTCAGCTCACAGCGGTGTCCTGTTTGTGTTGGGCCAACCACGTCATGTTCGACTGTGTTTCGTTTCAGAGAAAAATCCTGTTGAAAACGAATTGCTTTTTTTCTTTCATTCGCTTCTTTCCTAGCCAGAAAATCCTGTCGTCCATGTTCAAAAAGCAACTCATTATCTTTCTTCTTGAGTTCAGCTTGACACTCGGTGAGTTCTTTCTTCGTTATTTCGAGATCGTTCTCTAATTTAATGGAATATTGTTTTTGTTTCTGAAGTTCGAGAAAATTCTGTCGTCCACGTTCAAAAAGCAACTCATCTTTGTTCTTGAGTTGAGCTTCACACTCAGTAAGTTCTTTCTCTAATTTATTCGAATATTGTTTTTGTGTCTGAAGTTCGGACTGCAATCCAGCGATAATTTTCTCGGCGTTCGGCTCAGGTAAATGATTCGCGGTTGGTATCTCATATTCTCTATCATCTTCGAAGGAGAAATGTCCGGAATCCACCATATTGATTCTGAAAATTAAATACGAGTCAAGGCATCATATGGTAGAAACACTACAGTAGTCAGACTCTATACAGGGTGTATAAAAAAAAGGTTATCGAATTTCAGCGCGCTATTGTATCTGAATTACTCTGAGTCAGATGAACTAGATTTTTTCATATTCGAAAAGATCAGGCTTTTAGCTGTTGAATGATATGTTCCTCATGCCAAATGATAACAAATGAGCAAATACGGATCCGATAAAAAATGTTAGTCAGAATCGCATATTTTCACCGTTGAGAGTTGAGTCTAAAACCATTGAAAATTAACCCCCTTTGGTACTTAACTTGATGAATTTCATTTCAATAAACTACGAACATATTCATGATTATTATCAAGTAGGAATAAATCTTAGCTAAGGGCCTGTTCATGTGGGCAAAAGTTATCCCAGTTAGCGAGAAAACTTTTCGACAAGTTTACAAGCGAGATCTCGCCTTTGGCTTTGCATGTATGAAAATAATATGAAAAGTTACACTGCGTTCATATGAGACAAAACGTTTTCTTGTTTACCGAGATCTCGCTTGTTGAACACAACTTTCCCGCTTAGCGGGATAACTTTCGGTTGTGTCAGTATTTGGCTTGTCGAAAAGTTTTCTCGTTAACCGGGATAACTTTTGCCCATATGAGCTAAGCTATGACAAGTTCGTGATTAATTGCTTTTTCTTTTGTTATGCACCGCTTTAATTAGCACGGATTCGTACTTGCCTATTTTTTCTCCAATTGGCATGAAAAACATGCCATTCAATAGCTAAAAGCCTGATCGTTCCGAATATAGAAACATTTTGTTCATACGCCGAGTAATTCATGTACAATAGCCAGGGCCGTTCCTAGCGCGATAATTGGGGGGGGGGGG